AAAAAATAGACATTTGGAAAGTTGAAAGGAAAATTAAAATAAACATGGGTATTTTTAATTTTTTACAAATGATTTTTCATCAGTATTTGTTTATATGTTTTTCAAAATGTGCTGACTTTTAAAAGTCTATAGAAATAACGTATATCAATCTGATTTTTTTAATAATTTTTTTTTTGCTAGTAAAATTTTATCTTAATAAATTATTCATTTACTGGGAGTTTTTCGAAGATGCAAGATGGATGAAAACAAATATGAATACAATAAAAAACATGTCGTACAATACAACTGATTGTAATGAGATTGACATCTTATGATAGTATGTAATATTTTTGTAGGGGAGTGATATGAATCTAGGTAACTTACTCTACATGTAGAAATATTCAGTCCTATAGGACTGGCAGTGTAAAGTCCTAAAGGAATTGTATAGTCCTATAAGACTTATGATCTCACACACCAGTCCTATAGGACTGGCAGTGTAAAGTCCTATAGGAATTGTATAGTCCTATAGGACTTATGATCTCACACGCCTGTCCTATAGGACTGGCAGTGTAAAGTCCTATAGGAATTGTATAGTCCTATAGGACTTATGATCTCACACACCAGTCCTATAGGACTGGCAGTGTAAAGTCCTATAGGACTTGTTATTCCTATAGGAATTTACATAAAATCCTATAGAACTAAACATGTCCTATAGGATTTCATGAAAAGTCCTATAGGATTTCATGAAAAGTCCTATAGGATTTTTTAAAATCCTATAAGATTTTAAAAATCCTATAGGAAACTTTTGTAAGGGAGGGTTGGGTGCTGCAGGGTTGAGCACTACAGATATGGGAGCTACGGGGTTTTGAGCTACAGAAATGGGAGCAACAGGGTTGGGAACAGGGTTAAGAGGTACAGGGTTAAGAGGTACAGGGTTAAGAGGTACAGGGTTAAGAGGTACAGGGTTGAGGGCTACAGGGTTAGGAGGTACAGGGTTAGGAGGTACAGGGTTGAGGGCTACAGGGTTAGGAGGTACAGGGTTAAGAGGTACAGGGTTGAGGGCTACAGGGTTAGGAGGTACAGGGTTAGGAGGTACAGGGTTAGGAGGTACAGGGTTAGGAGGTACAGGGTTAGGAGGTACAGGGTTAGGAGGTACAGGGTTAGGAGGTACAGGGTTAGGAGGTACAGGGTTAGGAGGTACAGGGTTAAGTGGTACAGGGTTAGGAGGTACAGGGTTAGGAGGTACAGGGTTAGGAGGTACAGGGTTAGGAGGTACAGGGTTGAGGGCTACAGGGTTAAGAGGTACAGGGTTAAGTGGTACAGGGTTGGGAGCTATAAGGATGGGAGCTACAGTGGTTGGAACTACAGGGGTCAGGTGCTACAGGATTGGGAGCTACAGCTACATGGAGATTTAAAAGAGAGAAGTTAGACACAAATTCCTTGATATACTTTAATTAAAACGTCAACTGACATCAACACAAGTTTGCTAAACATGAAGAAACAATACCATTGACCAAAAGTGTTTTTTTTTTTTTGCATTTTGTGCTTACATAGACAAAAGACTTCAATATAAATGTGTCCGAGTTCTGAATTGTTTGGTTTGTATTTACATGTACCTTTCAGGTACATGCATCAAATAAATTTTTTTGGGTATCTGAATGGGAACATCTAAATCCACCCTGGTAGATAGCAATAAACAAGTCAGACCCTATACAAGGAAGGAGTATTGCATTAATTTTTTTTCCTTTTTAATATGTTTTTACACTACAAGATTACCTGTGTTTTTGTTATTAATAATACATAATTAAAATTTTAAAAAGTTAATATAAATAAGAATAAAAATGAATTGAGCATAAAAATAACTGACTAGTTCAAACAACTCAGAATCACTCAAACTTGCTCAGGTCTGTAGTTCTTAGCTTTTTAAAGTTGTACTTTGAGGTTTATTGTTTTTTTTAAGACTTGTATGCAATATGAACCAATGGCAAAAAATGTCCTGAACAGAAATTTAGAAGATTTTCAATATATCCAAACGGAGACTATTATTTTGGCTTTCCTGAATTTAATATTTTTGAATTTCAATTGTGAGAGAATTTCTATGATTCATCCATATTTACACCATTATACATGTCAAATAATAGTAAACAAAAAAACCTAAAAAGTATCATTGCAGTGCAATTTTAAAATAGTGAAAAACACATACCTTCATATTAACCCTTTTTGATCTACAGTATTAAACTTAATTTTTTTTTATATCAAGGCATTAATTAGTACATATTTGACATAGTATACATTTAATTCACACAATTTTTTAAAATATGTTTTTTTCAGATTTGTTTAATACTGTGACTAAATTATAGAGAATAGAAAAATTAAATTTTTTGTGTCTTTCATATAATTTTTTTTTCTCTATTCTTTAATCCATGTAATACATTAAAAAATTACATGTTTCTTAAACTCTAATTGCACCTCACCCTCATATACACCGGTAGTTTTCACTGATTTGGTGTAATTGGGGTTACATTCATTTATTATTTAAGAAATAGCATTTGTATGCGTACATACTTTTAAAGTTACACTTGTATTTGTTATTTAACATAAAGAGCACTATATAGTCAAACACAGAAAAGACAATAGACTGTATCTGCACATTACAAAGGATATATATCACCAGAGGTACATTACTTGGGGTTTGCAACGCACATATACTGTATGGTGACATCATGCCAAATCCCATTCAGTCCTCATCTTGAATAGCGAGACTGATGCTACACCTTCTGACATGACATAGTCG